AAAAAAAAAAAAAAAAAAAAAACCAACAACAAAAACCTGTTTGCATTGCTACATTTCTCTTTGATGCACAGAGCCTTGTGTCACTTACATAAACTTGTAATAAGCGTATAGTCAAGAGTATATTAGTCAAATCTTGTGGTTTGTTGTTAGAGGAAAAGCGGTAGTAAAATAATGCTTACCTTGTCTAGTATCCATTCACTTTCTACATGTATTCCTTTTAAGAATGTAAGCATAGGAAAACATGCTTTTTCCTGTACTTTAGTCACTATAATGTATAAACATTAATTTGTAGTAATATTTTGTGATTACGAAGGTCAGTTTTAAATTTTTACATCTATGCTCAGTGAAATTAAATGTCATTGATTACCGGTAAGAATATGAATACCTAGCTCTTTTATAGCACTTTTCATCAGCGGATCTCTAAGTGCTTTACAAAGGAGGTCTGTATCATTATTCTCATTTTACAGTTGGGGAAACTGAGATACCAAGAGGTGAAGTGACCTTCCTAAGGACACCCAGTAAACCAGTGGCAGAGCTAGGAAGAAATCTTAGGTCCCCTGAGTCCCAGTTCAGTGCTCTTGAATGTCTGGGTTCTACTTTAAGTGAACCACTATTAAAAAGAAAAATAGATTGCTGGAACTAGAGATGCATAGATTTTGATTTTCTACTGTTGCACTGCTGTTTCCTTCTCTTTCTACACTTTATTTTTCTCTCTTACAGCTTGACAACAGACTCCGTTTTACTAGCTCAGGAATCAGTTACCCCATCTCTCCGGTATGCGCTTTCCAAAACTTTCCAGAAACCGCACCTGTGAAAAGTGCCAACCAGCAGGTTTCAGGACCAAAGGCAGGCATTTACATTTACTCTTATTTTGTGCTCAAGACACACATTTCTAATCATATATTTCTGAACAGTTTGACGTGGATATGCTATGTGATATGGTTTTTGTGTTGAATGACAGCAAGAATTTGGCTATAACCACTAAATTATTATAATGGTAATAGTACCTGGCATTTTCAAAGCAGTTTACAAACCCTAATTTTCATAACTCTCCTGTAAGATATTTTCCACCTTGTCATGAATTCTCCTTTGAACAAAAGCTACACAGCAAATTAGTTGCAGCATTAAACCTAGAACACGAGAATTCCTGGCAGTTACCTCTGGTTTTTAGTCTAATATACCACACTGCCTCCCAAATGTAACTTCCCTAATTTCTATTTGATTATAGTAAATGTCCTACTGTAAACTAGTGAGAGAGAAGTTCTCAAAGTCAGCAAGATTCCCTTTTCAGTTGTTCCTTTGTATATCTTCGTGTTTCTTTATTCCTTACAGAAGTAGTTTGTAGTACACAAAACACTTAATACATTCTATACAATTTGGGATTGAAATTACTATGGCTCAGTGTCATAGCATCATTATTTCAGAGTATCCTGATGGCACGGGGTGGCCCTGCAGGCATCCCACTCTTTGATTCCTCTTCTCAGGGTTCCTCAAGAATACTTCTCCAACACTGTCTTAGGCTAATAACTAAGGCTAAGGTTTTTGTCATGGTTATTTGTAGTAAAAGTCATGGACGGGTCATGGGTAATAAAGAAAAATTCATGGAAGCCCATGACCTGTCCCTGACTTCTACTAAAAATATCCATGACAAAATGGGAAGCAGTTGCGGGGGGCTGGCTGGGAGCTCCAGGGGTCCCCACCACCCGAGCTTGGAGCTGTGGGGTCCCTCTGCCACCTGCAGGGTGGCAGGACCCTGCAGTTCCCAGCCACTGCAGGCTGAAGTCACGGAGGTCTTTGGAAGTCACAGAATCCATGACTTCTGTGACAAAACCGTAGCCTTACTAATAACACCCATGTCATGGAGTAATATATTAATAGGGGCACCTCGAATCACAAACTAAAGTTCAGTACCGTAACTCAAAAGGGTTGGGCTTTGCCACCACCTTAGACTCCAGGCTCTATTGTCCTTCAGACTAGAGGGCTCTCAGATTTAACTGTGGAATCCCCTCCTAGAGTTCAGACACTCAGACCAAGCAATAATGCAAACAATGGCTGCCCACGTTGGGCTTAATAAAAGTCCCATGTCCCTCCTGGATTCTATCTCAGCTCCCTGCCCTTGTACGTGAGAGTGGCCAAAGAGGTGTTTCCCTGGGTCTTCCTCTTGCTTCAGTATCTCCTTCTGCTACCCAAGCCCCCTGGCTTCTGGCCTGTCTTCCTATTCCCAGAGAGGGCCTGCAAAACTTTCTGCTCTCTGCAGCCTCTTCCTGTCTTTTCCTGCTGCTCTTTATGCATAGGCTTGGAAGGATCAGATTTTCATCAGTAAATGTCAATTTCACCCTCCCCCCCCCCCCCCCCCCCACAGTAATTGTCTGATTTCCCCCATACTTTGAAAATTTAAATTGATTACATTAAAAAAAAAAAAAAGCTTAAATGAACAATGTTATCCAGTGACATTGTTTTTAAAATGGATTCTGCTGAGCCTCTTTTTGGGAGAACACCTGTCCCCTGCTCAGCTGGATGAGGTTAATGAACAGAGCTAGCTTGGCCCCATCCTCTTAAAGGGGCACCCGATTACACTCAGCAAAAGGCTTATCTTACTAAAAACAATCAAACCTGATGTTTCAGAAAAAACACAGAATACCGAAGACACCAAAACTTTAAACAAAGGCTTTCTTGGGAAATATCAGCTTTCCTTTGGCATAACTGACTTCAATCAGATACTAGTCAGCCTATATTAGTGGGCTGTGAGCTGCTGCTCTACCCTAAATCTTAAATTTAACATTAACTTAAATATTTGAGAAGCCGCAACTATTTCCTGTTTTTAGTGGATACCAAACCATGTTGATATGTATCAGTAATTCACCCTGTGCTATCATACATACACAGCAGACTTGTCATCTGAATTGCATCTTTGTTTTATATCTATACTATTTTATTTGTTAAGCATTTGCTAAACATGGTGTGGAACCTTATTGCCCTGAAGTGCTCACAGTCTGATAAAAGTCCTCAGTCTATACATTTTCTTGGTGCATAGTAATATCTGGATCCAAAATGTTGAATGTGTGAAACCTTTGATCTTTTGGCAGGTTCAGTTTAACATGCAGCTTTCAAAAACTAATAAAAGTTCAGACATTCAGCCAGGATTTCCTATTGCAACTGGTCATTCAACAAATATAGAAAAGTGAGTATCATGATAATTGTGTCCATAGAAATTATTTTGAGGCCCAATTTTCAGAGACACCTCAGCCCAGCCTTTCTAAAATTGTTGGAAATTTTTTCCAAAACAGTTTTTTATGCCCAAGTTTGTGAATACACATTGTATTTTGTTCAAGTGAGCATGCACAGACTTACTCACAAAATAAACCTGTATTTTAGAGGCTGCTTTTGAAAATGTGGTCCTCTGTCCAAGTGTCTTTGGAAGTAATTTTTTTGTTTTATGAAGAGTTCTGAAGAAGCCATATTGCATTTCTAGTGAAATATTAAATTCTCGTTTGCAGATTTACCTATCTCCACAACAACAAAAGGCTTGTTCGGCTGTCAGAGTCAGTGCCTTTTTAAAGTAGTCTAATTTTTTCATTATTCAGCTCTCTTGGGATACACTACACAAACCAAACTTTGTCAGACAGCACTAGTGACTTTAAACATGGCTGTACCTGACCCCGTATTGCGACAATTCTGTTCTTCAGTGGAGTTCCACAATAGCAGTGATATTGGTATGTGGGAGTATCAGCTTAATGGGGGCCAGCTACTCTGGAAATGGACGCCATAGTGACCTGAAAAGTGGAGTGAAGGCAATGAATGTTCGTTTGTCAATATGCTGACTGCCCTAGCAAGTCTGGCTAGTGATGGCATTCAGAACCTATTACTTAAAGTGATGTGACTGTAATAATTCCATTTGCAGATGACATCTGGTTTCTTTATTCCAGTTTACCAGGGTGGTGCTGGAGTGTACCAATAGTGGGTGGTTTTAGAAATCATCCAATGAAGGAGGTAGGCCCAGTGGGATGAGTAAGTGAAAACATTAAGCTCTGGCTGCACTGCATATTTTAACTGCATTTAACCAGTTAATTACATGATTAATCCCAGTTATAGCACTAAAGTGTCTTAGACTGGCAAATGTCTTCCTGAGACAAATTTTGCAAATGGTTTTTGTGGTGTAGATAGGACCTCCTCTAACTGTATCTTTTATCTCAGTTGGCTCTACTTTCCAGCTCTCCACTGCTCTGTGGGGGATGTCCCAGAATGCATTGCTCTGTGTCTGTGCCCTTTGGGAATGCTTTCTTCTGAGTCTAAGAGAGCACTGATCCAAAGACCATGTGGATGAACAAACCTGGTTGTCATGTGGTTTTGAGGTGGAAAACGCTGCCATGCAGACAACTGTCATATTTGTTGCAACTGGGCTGGATGAGTGTCAGACTGGTTACAAAAACAGTTGTTTGCTGTGTAGACATGGCTGGAATATTGAATCTATATAAAAGTTATGAAATAAAATGTAAACATTTTATGTAGTACTACGTAAACTTAACATTGAGTAATTGTCCATGTAGATCCCACACTAGGTATCCATGCATGCAAAATCAGAATCTTCGAACAGCAGTGTCCATTGGAGCTGTGCTTGGCACTCATTATGTCCTCGTGCCTTCCCCATCTGAGGGCAGAGCAGTCCCATCCATCCCTCTTAGTGCTTGGCAGTTTGCATCACTGCCATTGCTGTTATAGTGGATTCAAAGCTCTCAGGCTTGAACTCCCTGTTCATTGTGCGATGGACTCATTCCCTGCAGAGAGACATATAGCCATTGTTTATTCCAGGGGTCGGCAACCTTTCAGAAGTGGTGTGCCGAGTCTCCATTTATTCACTCTAAGGTTTTGCGTGCCAGTAATACATTTTAATGCTTTTAGAAGGTCTCTTTCTAGAAGTCTATAATATATAACTAAACTATTGTATGTAAAGTAAATAAGGTTTTTAAAACGTTTAAGAAGCTTCATTTAAAATTAAATTAAAATGCAGAGCCCCCGGACCGGTGGCTAGGACCTGGACAGTGTGAGTGCTACTGAAAATCAGCTTGCGTCCCGCTTTTGGCACACGTGCCATAGGTTGCCTACCCCTGGTTTATTCTGTTTAAGCAGAAGCCTCTTGTTTGACAGTTGTGCTATCTGCTTGTCAAGACGGAGAAAATCCAGGGTCAGTTGGCTAAAATTACTACTTCTGGAGCAGTCTGAGGGGCACTTCAGACCCAGAACAACAGGTATGAGGCTCTTCCACCACTGAGTCCCAGTCAGTCAGCACTTCTGTAAGCCAGAATGCAACTCTTTAAGACCAGTACCAGTAAAAGATCTGATAGGCCATCCACAACTGCCAGAAATCAGCTTGGCACCAAAGGCTGGTACTGCCTCCAAGGTAAGATAACTTGGAACACTGAACCAAACATATTTCCAGGCATCCATCTATATCTTGGGATCTAAATATCCTCACAGGTCTCATGAAGTCCCCCTTTAAACTCCTCTCTGAATGTTCTCTCACTACTTTACTCTCAGATCGCTTTTTTGGTGGCCATTACATAAGCCAGGTGGGGGAGTGAACTTCTGTCCCTCATGGCTCATCCCTCTCCCTTATTATACTGTTTCATCGAGATGCCAAACACTGTGCCTGGACCTGGCTTTGAGATCAGATGCCAAATTAGGAAAGGCATTGTTTAGTGAGTGAGCTAGGACTACTCATTCCCACCTTCCAGCTGAGGTACTGTTGGCCAGTGACTTAGAATGGGATCCACATGGACAAATAATTGAAGAAAGAACCTGTGGTTCTTATGTTTTGTCTGAGTAGCTCCCACAAGCACCCTCCATTCTTGCTCCTTGGAGTCTCCTCTAGACGAGAATCTGGATTAGTGGGAAACTGGAGGGATTGTTGTGACCGCCCTGCCACTTGTACCCCCATCTGAGGGAATATATGCTGGGTACAGGCATGATCCCAACAGACACTGCTGTTCAGATTACAGTCTTGCATGCACCATGGATTAAAATATCTCAAAAGTACCACAGTTACTGCAAGGTAAGTAACCATTACGTTGCTATTGTTTTAGCTCCTGCATTGATGATGTTATGGTAAAAACAAGTATTTGAGATGTCTTTTAGGTTGCTGCTGCTTCAGTCAGTCTTAATCTCTTTGAAGGGCCTTTACTTTAGGCCCTGAAGTATATTATTAGTGAGCTTTACTGCATCAAAAACACAAGCTTACAAAATTAGGTAAAAGTGTTAAGTTTTCCTATTTTAAGCATGATTCTATTTTCTTTTGGTTAGTGGTGAGAATTTGGGATTGGAATTGAAGTATTTAAAGAAAAGAGAAGACAGCATTCCTTTACGAGGTCTCAGCCAAAATACATTTAACTCCTCAGGTAGGAAGGGCAGTAGTTCCATGAAAGTAAACAAATCTATTTCAAAATGCTTTCTGCTTTAAGAAGGTGCTATTTGTACCCCCCAGAAGTTAATAGTGTTTTTTCCCCCCCCATTTGCAGAATATCCGAAATCCTCCACATCAACAAAAACACTAACTTCATCAAAACCCGGAATACAGTCTACAGCCTCTGCTTACTTCCCTGGATTGCAAACAACATAATCATTAGATGAAATCTTTTATTTTACCAACTATCGAAGATTTTGGATAGCTTTTAATTAAGATACTAAATACAATTATTACCCCTTAAAATGTCAGTCAAAATGTTATAGTAACTGTTTAAAATGAGTTAACTTTACCATACATTTGTATAATCTTTGGCTTTTGTGAAGAAAGCAAATTGATTTACATAAATATCAGTATACAATTCCAGCCAGAAAAGTAAAATACGGAGGGGGAAAAATATTAACTACTTTAATCACATGAAAATATAATGCTACAAAATGATTGTTTAGAAATGACCATTTATAAAATGAGGCAAAGCCTTTAAAAAGGTTTATAAATGGTTATGGAGCAACAAGACCTACAGAGGAGTTTGTGTAGTAAACAACCTATTTTAATCTTTCCCCTTGCCAGAAATCCACAAACTAATGATATTGCTAATAGTTCTATCATTATGCTGAAACTCAGTCCTGCTTGGAGTTTCTCCTTGAAAATACCTAGTAACTTTAGGATCTTGCTCCTGGAAAATGCACAGCAAGCTCTGAAGTCAGTGGTAGTTGTGTTGGGCAGTTTCCTGATATAGGAAACTTCTTTTCCCAAGTTATTCCTACATCTGTTTGGAGTTCAAATCTAATTTTTGGTTTCTATACTGAAAGACATGTTTGTATAGCATTTTGAACTTACTACCCTGGACTCCTTAGCCCCTAAAGCAACACTTGTGCCAGGATACTAGTGTAATAACCCAGGTCCGCTAAGACCAGGTAGTGCATTATATTCTCCTTGTACAGGATTTTGGCAGTGTGGAGCTGCATTATTCCACCAGTCACACTCCATGTATGGATGAAATATACACACTGGCATTCATCTCTGGAGAACATTTCTGTAACATGCAGCGGGATGTGGAGTATCTTTCATTGGCCTGTCCGTTGAGTTGACCTGCCACCTATGGAACACTGTTTCCTGTCAAGGTATGTCTATACTGCAATCTGAGGGTGTGGTTGAAGTCCAAGTAGACATACCTGAACTAGCTTTAATGTAGCTAGTTCAAATAAGAGCAGTGAAACTGCTTCACTCTGGACTAGCTCCACAAGTAATTACTCAGGATTCTGGGCAGGCCTGTACAGCCCAAATGGAAGCACCTGCTGCTGCAGCATCTTCACTGCTCCAGTACCCAAACTGGCTAGATTGGGGATGTCTACTTGAGCTATAATCACAACCTGTAATTGCAAGTATAGGCATATCTTCAGAAGCTCAGTTACAAGAATGTAAGGGTCAAAGGGGTGAGCACTTTGCTTCTGGCCTAGGACTCATGTGAATTTCTTAAATTGGAAGCATCTTACATTTTGTAAATGTAAGAGCTGAAGCATTGTGGGATCACTCATGTTCCTAACATAGAGACACTTCCTAGCTTTAAAATTATGCAGGACATTTATTTAATATAGGTTTCAGGTGGTTTCTTTCTTTGGCTTTCTTAAACCAACTACTTTTTTACATATATTCATATATTTGTGTGCAGGTTTATATCTTGTGGATCACTAGTCAAATATTTAAATTAGCTACTTAAAAATGAGATCCTAAATACTTACCTTAGTAAAAGCGCACAATTGAGTTATGGCTACAAATTTCACATCTTGTCACAGCCCCTGGCTATTTTTTTCTCTCTCTCTCCATAGCAGATGATTCCACATACAATGGGCTAGTTTGTAATACATTGGAAATTACAACCAACTATCTGAACTACTGTCTTGTTCCAGTAATTTTATGAAGCATTAATGAGAACATCTGGAAACCATTTCATATTCTACTACTGTAATCAAAGATGCCTTCGCTGGTGACTACAGTGGTGTACAGAACATATCAAGTAAATTTAACTGTACTTACCACTTAAGCTGGGGTTCATTGGTGGAATCATGCTACAACCTGAGTGTGTGATCTTCCACTGAGTGTCCCAGTTACATGGAATTGAGAAGTAAATTTTTCTCTGCATCTTCTATGACCCATATTCTAATATCAAACTAGTAATTTAAAATGACAGTACAATTAGAGGGAATTTTCCAATAATATCTTGAACTCAATTTATGCCCCTAGCTCTACAATTCTGTAATATTGTATCAGAATCTACTCCTTCTCTTTCCCTTAATGTTTGAGTGGCTAATCCTAATTTTGCACATTACTGTCCAAATGTATATTAAACACCTTGGAGTGTAAAATTTGTATATTTGTTTATAATCAGTTTGTATTTGTGTGTGTGTGTGTGTATAGTTGCTTTTGGAAATGTATATGTTAAAGGAAATATTAAAATGGTTTCAGTAAAGATGTTTCTGGTCAGCTACAGTGGACTTAGTTAAGTGGAAACATATTGGGGGGGAGAGAGGTTTCACTCACTCAAATATTTTAAAACCAGAATTAGAGCAAAGTTATTTCACTACAGTCCAGACCAGAAAGTGGTACCACTTTGCCAGACAGAGCTTCATGGCCCACTTATCAAGCTCCATAGTCCAAAAATTTAGGATTTACAAAAGCTGCTCAGAACAGATAATTGAATATTTTTAGAAAATGACTAAATACACTTTCACGCAATGCAGTAGTATTAGAAATCAGTATGAAACTTGAACTGGGGACTAGATCCTTCAAAGGAACTTGGATAGTATGGCACCTTGCTGCCCAGTGGCATTCAGAGCCCAGCATCCAGGTGCCCTACACAATGCATGGGGAAAGTTTGAGGATTTACATCTTAAGGACCTGTCAGCTAAGCAAGATTAATTTACTGTCACTGTTTGGTGGTGGTATAGGATGGCCATGACAAACTGTCTCACATTATCCCACTCAAGTCTTTAAGACTTTAAAAAACCCCAAACACTTACCTCAGACAGTTAGACCCAAGAGCAAGATGCCTGCACAGTTGCTACTTGTACAAAATAAATGCTCAAAGCAGCTTAGTAGCACTTTAAATGAGCAAACAGTACATTAAAGTATTATACTGATGGCTTTTTCTTTTAATAAAAGGTAGCAGGAACTTCTAGGGGTAAAGAACTACATGCATAAAAGCTGGAGGGCAGGGTGTTTGGTGATCATGCAGCCTGAAAAGTTACACAGAGGCCCAACTTGGATAGTGCACTACAGCCTGAGTCCATGTATTTGTATTTGGCCAGAGCTACACTCATGTGTAAGACTTTTTTAATATCACTTGTACACAGATAAATATAATCACTGAAATTGATTCCTCCATGTTAAAAAGAGGCAGGTATTTTAAATAAGGTAAGAGCATGCCTTGCTGTTTTGTCAATGTCCTTCCTTTCCTGGAGGTGGCTCTGATCCTATTGCTAAAGGTGATACCAGCTCAAGCCCTACCTGTAATTCATTTAGTAAAGGGAAGAGATGGTTTAAGCAGACCTGGAGACTGAATACAGGAACCAGCAGAGAAAGAATCTTATTGATCCAGTATTTGGCTGTGTACTAGATAACATTGTTTGATTCTAGTAATTCCAAGCCAGACACAGCACTTTATTTTCATCTGACTGGACTCTGCTTTACCCTAACACATTAAAATGCTGTTCTTTTTCAAGTGCTGTATCACATTTGATTGTTACTGATAATGAAGTTAACTTCACACCATCTGCTATTGTGGCAAGGGCATCAATGACTTTTAGCAAAGTTTAACCTAAACTAATTGCTAGAGGCTGCTGCTTGACAATACTTTCTACCTCTTTTTCTTATATCAAAGATTACTAGTAACTCCTTCTGCAGTGCTGTAGTCCAAGAAAAAAAAAATACTTGAGTATAAGTCCATCTTTTAATCAGAAGTAGCCTGCTTCAGGTATGTGGCCCCTTAATTCAGTGGTAAATGAGTTAATACCAAGTAAATTTAAGATTAGGGTTTTTACTTAATTTTGAGTAACATTCTTTTAGATGTTGCATGGCAAGATGGGTGCAAGAATCAGAAAATGAAACATTAAGAAAAGAGGTATGCCAGTAACATTCACTGAACATATTTCAAGTTGCTCCAAAGTTAGTCCATGCATAAGTTTTGATTTTGGCAACATTGATACCTTTTGAGAAGTATTAACATTTGAATTAGAATTGATTGTATTAGTCTGCCCCTTTTTGCAGGGGAGATACATTTTGAATAAAACAAGATAATCAGTAAATGACAAGATCTTTTACTACATCCTGATTTGAGGCTTCACTTAAACTAGGTAGGCCCAGTCATTCCCCTCAAATATCCATATCCAAAGTTTCCTATGGCAAGTAATGTGAGGTGCAGCCCACCCACCCCCACTCCCCTGATGGTATTCACTGGATACACGTTCCCAATTATCCCTTCTATCACAGGGGTGGGCAAACTACAGCCCAGGGGCCACATCCTGCCCTTCAGCTGTTTTAATCCAGCCCTTAAGCTCCCACCAGGGAGCAGGATTAGGATCTTGCCCTGCTCTGCATGTGCCACAGCTCCCAGAAGCAGAGGCATGTCCACCCTCCAGCTCCTACACATAGGGGCACCTAGGGGTCTCCACATGCTGCTCCTGCAGCTCCCATTGGCCTGGAACCATGGCCAATGGGAGCTGCAGAGGCTACAGACAGGGCAGTGCACAGAGCCATCTGGCTGCCCCTCTGCATAGGAGCCAGAGGGGGAACATGCCGCTGCTTCCAGGAGCTGCTTGAGGTAAGCGCCACCTGGAACCTGCACCCCTAATCCCCCTTCCACAGAGCACCCTCATGCACCTCCTCATCCCCAACCCCCAGAGCCTGCTCCTGCACCCTGAACTTATTTTTGACCACAGCCCACACCCCCAACCCCCAATTTCATGAGCATTCATGGCCCGTCATACAATTTCCAGATGTGGCCCTTGGGCCAAAAAGTTTGCCCACCCCTGTTCTATCAGCTCAAAGTCGATTTTATTGCTACAGAATCTGCCATACTCCTTTTTTCAAAACACACTGAGGCCCAGCTGTACATTTTACAGCATCAGAATAAGTATTCATAGCATAGGTGCATCACACTTAGGTTTAGCGCTAATCTGATTTAAGGTATAAACAGCTTGCTAATGTCAAGTTCAAAATTAATTAAACAAAGCAGAGCCCTGCAGCAGGAAAAATTGTGTTTGAATGCTTTTACATACAATATAAAAACTTTTTTTTAGTAACAGCAGGGAATCTCTCTTGCAGGATCTAAGGTTTTTGTGGATAGAAGCAGGATAAAAATGCAAGAAAATGCAGGACCAGGTGGGAGTGGGTTGCAGGGCAGGACAGGAGTGGGATTAAAAATGTCCCATGCAGCGCTCTACTTGGCAATAAATTGCCCATTATTTTAGTTTCTTGCTGATTTAATACAATACCACTATTAAGCAAAAGCTTTTCATGAAAATTTTGCAGTACAAGGACAAATAAGCTATTACAGGTATGTGGGAATGAAAAGGGTAAAATTCACACAATTTACCTACAATTGGTATTTGTCTGTTGAATGAAATTACATTTAAAGCACTAAGGAACCCAAAAACTTGACAGCAAGTGAGAAAGCAATATTAAGGCTACAGTACGTTCAGCAGGCTATAAGACATTACAGAATTCATATACAGATATATGGTTTGAACGGATTTCAAAGACAATTTAAAAAATTCATTAAAATATTCATTTATTAACAATATATTTACACATTTTCCAGCTCTCAGTCAACCATGATGAATGTTCAAAGTTAAAAAACCAGTAAGCAGTAACCACAAGATGAAAACATTTTAAACTATACCTTATACACAATTTATACAAAGGAATACTTGTTTAAATAATACAACTGGACACAAAAATATACATTTTTAGAGAAATTCACATCAGTAACTGTATAAAGCTTTCTCTCCTGTACTAGGGTCCTGAAAATTTAGGACTAAAACATTAGCTCTGTAAAAGTAAAAAGTTACTAGCCAGTCTTGAAAGGCCACTATATAGCACACTGACATTTTCAAGGCTATCAGCTTATATTTCAGTTTGTGTATTCAAGTTTTGAGGTCCTTATGATTACGCAAACATCAGAAATTGTGGTATAAACTGTATCTGAGAAAGCAGAGTTTTAGAGCCAATATTAAAATCTTGTAGGCTCAAAAGACCCACTAATTTAAATACTAACTGATACTATCTTGTACTCCAAAAATTAGGAAGAATTAAAGTAATGCACTTACACACAAAACTTTTACTGTTCAGCAAGTGTGCTCACCACATGATTTTGTATTAGTATAAACTTAAAATAAAACCTCCCATACAGTGATTTTAAAATGAAACCAATTCACCTTTTCCTTACTTGAGTGCATTTACATTAAGGCTTTGTACTATCTGACCCAAAATTTTACAACATAAAATGAATGGGTCCACAAATATGCTAGTATGTCTCATTGAGACTTAGCATGAAGAGAATTAAAGCTTTACACCTTAAGGAAATGGACACAGGGACACATGCTGATACCTTGAATATGTTTTCCTTTTTGTCTCAGAACTAGGATGAAAAGGTTAATTATATTAATAGTATGAGACCAGTGCTTAGTTTGTTCTTTTTAAAAAGTTAATTTAATTGTAACATCTTTGGAGAAATTTCCAGTTCCTGTCTGTAGTTCCTACAAATTTCATGCAGAAAGATACGTTTCTTAAGATAATGTTAAGAAATTACATTTTTTATGTAAATGGAATGTATATCCAGAACTGGAAACAAGACCTATGAAATATAAAAACGTTTTTCTGGATTTTGTTGTCATACATTTGTGTCTTGCAATAAAGGTTCTTTGGCCTCGCCAGGGGCCTGTGGACTGTGTGGATGACCATGACTGCCACTGTGTTTTTTCCAATTGCTGGACCGTGCATTTAGATTGGTGTGTTCAGGAATAAACAAGGCAACAAGCAAAGCCAGCAGCACAGAGCATGCTCCAAACAAGAAAGGGGGTCCAGGAATTATGGAGTTCTGAAAATAACAAAAACACTTATTTTCTAGAGGAACCGTTAAGTAAATTCATAGTTCACAGACACTGGTTGGTTCACATCAGGCTCTGTACTTAAAAACAAACATATTTTACAATTTCATTAGTTTAGGGCACAATACTCTTAATGAGTGGGCTATTTCAATACCCAGCCCTAGTAAACCTTATTCATAGATGAATGACAGTCATTCTCAAAGGCTGAGGGAGGAAACCCAGAAGAGGAGAAACCTGTTAGATGAATTTCTCTTTGGGTGTTTTTTAAACTGCAGAATTCTCTCTTCTATCTTCACAGGAAACGTGCCACTGCCTAGTTGTCTTACCTGCCAGAAATATAGACTTATAGAATCATACAGCTGAACTGCTATTTCCAGCCATGTAATTAAAACTCACTGTAGCTACCAGATGAAGTATAGGGCTGGTCTTCACTGCCCTGTTAGCCTGAGGTATAACTCAAGCTTTGTCCCTAGCCCAGCTCCTTTGAAACACACACAAATCTCTAGCTTGCCAACCCATCAACATTAACAGCCACATTTAAACAGGAAAAGCCAAGGTACTAACTACTATTTAAAAAGTTATCCAAGACTGTGAATTAAACAGAAAATACAAAAGCAGAAGACTACCTCCTTCACCCGTCTATATTCTGTGGTAGACATTACAACGGTGCAGTGTAGACACCATAAGTCATTTAACTATACAAAAGGGACTATGATCTAACTCGCTCTGCTTATTTTCTGTCTCAGCCAGAAAGTTACTTTATTTACAGGATTTCATTCTATGGTTTTACTCTTTTCATTCATGCACTCATGTGATTTAAGCATGAATACTTCAAGTAAATTGAGTAAACCAACCCCCCCCTCTCCAGTCAAGTGTAAATAAAGGACAAGATCTTCAAGCTTTGTCTTTCATCACACCATGAAAAAGACTGGCTGACTTGTAGACTTATTTTGCAGCAGTAAATTTTAGATAATTTATTATTTTTAAAAATAATAAGCTATAGCTGGAAGGACCAGAACTGGCACTCAATTGCTTCCAAGGAATGAAGAAGTGTATAGGCTGGTATCTGACCATAATGGTAATTTCTGCCTCCTTTTAGGCAGAGACATATCGACAGGCCAGAACGTTTTCCAATGTCAGATAAAGAGGAGAAAGTGGCAAGGCCTGACAAGAAGCGTGCCACAAGGAAGTATGAAAAGAGCAAAGCATATTCAGCTTTTTAGTATCCAGTCTAAATCATGTGTTTTAAAATATTCAATAGACTTAAGATACAATTCTGGGCACAGTAGTACCAGAAAAAAATATTTACAAGTTGAAGAAAATTTAGAGAAAAGCAGCAGTTAACAGGCAAGAGAGACCAGCATACAAGGAAAGAATCAAGAGATGTGTAACTTGGTCAGAAGACGGAGAATAGGAAAGTGTTTAAAAATGTGAACCAACAGGGTTCTTTTTAGGGTGATCCAAAGGAGCAATGGGATTGATTAATCAATGGAAAATTTAGGCTCAATATCAAGAGGATTGTCTTAATTACAAGAGTTATTAGACAGGTCAAGAGTCTCACAACAAAAGTGGATTGAGAAGTCCCTTTGCTTGATTCATTTAAAGCTGGACTGTCTAAAGCACTGTAGAATGTGTCACAGGGCAGCGAGATGAACTACAGTATCCAATTTATTCCCCCTCCGCCCCTTCCAAGGTGTAGAATAGAGGTTCTCAAACTGTGGTCCACGGACCACCAGTGGTCCGCAAGCTCCATTCAGGTGGTCCGAGGATAGTTCCCGCTAAGATGCGTGCCTGGGTGGCCGCACACAAGAGAATGAAGGGCCACCCACCTAATTAGTGGAGCCGCGCAGGCGTGACTCCACTAATTAGGTGCCTGGACCCTGGAGAAGATGCATATGTAAGGTGAGGTGGTGGCCTGGAGGGGGGAGGGGAGAATAGAGGGTAGGTGGGAGGGGGGAATTTGGGAACTCGGGGGCTGCTGCGGCGGGGGAGAGACCCCTCTCCATCCCAGCCCCAGCTCGGGGGGCTGCCGTGGTGGGAGAGAGAGGGCACATCCAATGCATTAGAAAGGTAAGACTACTGATATTAAAATGAGTTGTGTTTTTTAATATAGCACTTTTATCCAAAGTGCTTTACAATAGTTAGCTAATGGTACGAACAACATTTGGAAAGATCATTAAGTGGTCTGCTGAGACCCTCAGCAATTTTCAAGTGGTCTGCGAAAAAAAAAAGTTTGAGAACCACTGGTCTAGGATTGATCTTTGCTGCATTTCTTGTAACTTATAAATAAATAGGAACAATACCTGTTCTGAATGGTGTTGTGTGGCCACGTTACCTCCCAATTCAGTTTCAGTCATTGGGAGTTCATTCAATTCTACATGGAATATGTAGAATATAAAACCATAAAGTGCTGGTCCCAAACCATTACACAATCCTCGAATTCCTGTTATCATCCCTTGAACAACACCTAAAGAAAAAGGCATTCCATGAAATTAGATGTGTATACAATGAAGACTATTTAAAATGCTTTTTGGCAATTGTCTAACATGCAATGGGGCCTGATTCACTTTTTCCCCATGCTGGTGTAAACTAGGAGTAACTTCACTAAAATTAATCGGGATACACCATTGTAAGACTGATGTGAGAGGAGAATCATGCCTACACCAGAACCAAAACAATGAGGAACATTGGGCAAGACAAACTTTATGTTTTAGTCAGAGCACAGCATTTCCTATGCCATACTGACCAAAACACTATCAAATCTGGTATGTTGTCTCTGACAGCTATGTCTCATGCTTCAGAGAAAAGCAAAAACATATTACTGGGGGGCTCCTAGACACTACAGTAATAATGAATAAATGCACCTGAAGAATTGAGTAAATCCATGCATAGTGGGAGAGAAGAAGAATTGAAACATGATCAGCTGATGTACTGAATCAAGAGAAGTAGTGATGTAGTATTATGCTACCTTCAATGCATGGGTTTTCCCTATGCTAGACACACTCATTCATCTGCATTGTTTGAAGAGTATACCCCAGCTGCCTCCAAACAGTCCACAGGCCTTGAGAACTACCACTCTTCTACAGTGAAGTTAAAACTACACTAATGTTTCTCATTTACATTAACATACTATTATGTTGGCTAATTTGTCCTGCAAACTAGCATGGAGGTTAAGGATAAACCTTGAGTACCAGTAAGACAGCATTGATACATCTGGTGCTAAGGAGGTCAGAATATCCCTAGTTTGAACATTCCTTAAAATTAACAACAACAAGATATATAAAACATACCCTGTTGATCAGCATCAGCAGTTCGTGAAACTAGTGCACTTACTGCTGGGAACGTAATACTAGACATTGCTGCAACAGCCCCTGCTGCCCACATCATCCTGAAAAACATAAGTGTTAAGAGAAAGAATCAAGGTAAGAATTCTGAATTTCTACCTTCCATATACCTCTTATTACAAAGTTTAGAAAGAACTGCACACACTACCCAAGCAATAGAAAAGTCACAAGTTAATTATCATTGCTTGATTTCATACCTAATCAATTATTCTGAATTTAACAAATGGTGTAAAATAATTTAAGAGATGATTAGAAAAGTCCCCAATCCTTGCAAAATCCTGACGCTTGCTGGGAAGCATTGATCATGTATTTTGTAAACTCTCCTCCCAAATTAAGAGGAGGTGAACATCCAAAAAGCGAACTTAACTTAGTTTTCCCCGTTAGGTCATTGGTATGTTAGCACGTGTAAAGGGTGCAATCATGGGAGTGTGGGGGGAGGGAGAAAGGAGTGCTACAATTGATGTAAACTGACATCTTGACAAGTCAATGCAGTCTACTACAAGTAACAAGACACCCCCCCCCAAAAAATTAAAAAAAAGAATTAAGAAAATATGACTGTTAGAGGAAAGAGGACAAAGCATTTTTCAATGTTGTTTGGTGTCCATTTCCTTTTAGATAAAAATATCCATGAACAATCTTTGGTCTTATGAAGATTATTGGCACAAGAGATTGACGTTGTTTAGGTCAATCATACAGTACAATACCAAATTCTTGGTTTGGTATGGTTCACCAGACAGTGTTTCTTTGACTGCACCAAGTATAAACCAATTACATCTTTAAAAAAAAAAGGTTCCATCTTAAGAGGAGACAAAGGACACGTTGCCTATAACCGCTCATGTAAAACTGATGCATGTAAAAACACACACAAAAAAACCCTTTGTGAATGTTTATTAAGTAGGAAGTAATTTAAAATCTTCGTATGTCAGTTCATTAATTCAACTAAAATGAAATGTACGTACCAAGGCTCCGAGCCAAAACCATACCATGCAAGCTGTAATATTTGAAATCCCAGACCCAGTAAGATGGTGTTTTTATTTCCAATGGACCGCATAAGTAAACTCAAAACTACTGTCTGATGGGAAAAAGAATGTCATATTTTAATTGTGAATACTCACGTTATACAGCAATACATATAAAATGTTCACTAGTTTTGACAGAAGCAAAGTAAAGTTCTATGATGTAGTATTTTCTAGACAGACTGAAACGTGTAATAATGGAGAGAGATATGTGAAGAGATTGTTACCGTGCTCTTGATGTGCAACAATTTAGATTTTCCTTGAGGAATCCATACACTGGGAATATTATTTAACCTGCCCTGATGACTTAAACAAGCTATTTTTCAACCCAAACTAAGCTTAAGGAGAAGATTGAATCAACTTCTAAGAGGTTTGGGAGTGTGGCTAAGGAAGAAATAAATTAAGGTTAAGGCACTAGACCAGGGGTCGGCAACCTACGGCACGCGAGCCGATTTTGAGTGGCACACAGCTCCATGCTGCGGTCCCGGCCCCCAGCCCCACTCAGCCCCCCCGCCCACTGCTCTCCCCTGCGGGGGCAGCCAAGCTTCCCCCTTCCCCCACTTCTTCCCCCAGCATGGTGCTTTCCTGCCCCTCTTCCTCTCCTTCCCTGCTCCAATCAGCTGATGGCCCTAGCGAGGGGGAGGGGGAAGAGCGCAGCATGGACACAGCTCCGTAGAGGACGCAGAGAGAGGTAGGGACGGAGCCTGGGGGAAGGGGGTGGAACAGGGCATATCCCTTCCAGCCCCCTGCCATGAGCCGCTCAGGGCAGGGGGCTAGGAGCACCCCAGCCTTCTGCCCTGCACCCCTCTGCCCTGAACCCCCCCCACCCCCCCCCCCCCCTCTGCCCCTCCTCCCCCCCCCCCCCACCCCCCCCCCGCCTTCTGGCCTGCATCCCCCCCCACGCCCCCAGCCCTCTGCCCTGACCCTTGAACCCCCCCACACCCCAGCCCTCTGCCCTACACCCCCCCCACACCCCAGCCATCTGCCCTGATCCCTGAACCCCCTCCACACACACACACACACACCCCAGCCTTCTGCCCTGAACCCCCTCCCCCAGCCCTCTGCCCTGACCCCTGAAACACCCGCCCCTCCAGGTCTGGGGTCCCGGCCGCAGGCCCTGCTCAGTCCGCTGCCGGCCTAGGTGAACAGAACCCCAGGCTGGCAGCGAGCTGAGCAGGCTGGTGGCATAAGATCAGCATTTTAATTTAATTTTAAATGACGCTTCTTAAACATTTTGAAAACCTTGTTTACTTTACATACAATCGTTTAGTTATATAATATAGACTTATAGAAAGAGACCTTCTAAAAATGTTAAAATGTATTACCGGCACGCAAAACCTTAAATTAAAGTGAATAAATGAAGACTTGGCACACCATTTCTGAAAGGTTGCCGACCCCTGCACTAGACTACAATTCGTGATGTGCATTATATTCCAGCTCTGACAGATTTAAGGCAGTCTCAATGTCTGTGCATCACAGTTCTTTCACAAAATGGAGATATTTTTCTACTTCCCAGGATGTGAGAATGAATTGTTTATGAAATGGTCAGACATTAGGTGATGGGGAAAAAAAGGAAGCCATTTAAAATGAGATCAGAATTCAAAGCATCTCTTTCCTTTTCTATTCTAACCTTCTGAAACCAGATAGACTGAGTTCCTGGAATTACAGTTACAGGGATTGTCATAATATTTAGCTCTCACTTGAACCCATTATATTAGTGAAATTTATAGATCAATATTTACCTGTGCAATAATGGAGAGAATCCCAAGAACTGCTATAAAAGCTGCAACACTTTCAGGTGAAAATCCCATTATCTACATTAGAGAAGGAGAAATTTGATCATTAAACTTCAAATGTATATTGACACGTCTTTCATGTTTTGTGACATCAGTGGAAAGAATAAATGGAGTAACTAGAAAAACGCTTAATCTGAAATAGAAGAAGACATCCCTGATTTTCTTCAATCCCATAATCCATTGAAACCAACATTTACTCTTGCATAAAATAAAGAGAAAGAACTAGTGCGGAACAGAAAATAACTTCTATAATGGAATATGGAACTTGAAAGAAAAATTGACCCCATACTGTAAGAGACTAAAAATATTTTATCAGCTAACAAAAGCTAATTTTAACCACTGCAATGTAGTGGAACTTGTACTTCAAGGAATAATGCAAATGACTTTAAGAAACATGAGAAATATTTTGAGAACAGATTCATCTCTTTATTAACTATCAGAGTAACTAAAAGCCACTATCAACAGCCATTAATCATATTGACTACCCATATATTGCTAAAGTAATGTAACAAGTGCAAAGAATACTCCCTTCTAAAAATTTAGTTTTCCTTATCAGACATTTCTTCATATGCAGATTCTTACCTGTCTGAGGTATAGGAAGAAGCTGGAATATTGACCTGCCTCCGGGAGGTAGGAAAGAAAGACCGTTATGCAGATTAGCAGCACTATGGAATCTTGACCCACTTTCTTTAGTGACTAGGACAAAAAAAGACAGCTATAAGGTCAATAGAAAACATCTACTCTTCATCATTCATAAGCAATTATATACAAATGGAACACCGAAAGAGGCAGATGCTCTTTAATACATACATCACTGTTAAAACATGTGCTTCAGCACATGCTAATCTGCATTTGCTAATCCCTGCTAAGCAGCAATTTGACGCTACTCACACCCTTCCCCAATAAACCTAGAAACTCCTCAAACAATTTTTTTTAAAACCCAAATCAGGGGATAATTACTATCAGTCCCATTCCTGACTCAAAAGCAGTACAAATCCAAATCTGCATATATCAAGCCACCACTCCATACTTAAACATTTAAATAGCTTACTGCAAAGGGATCAGCCTGTTCCCAAGAAATGGGTGCTCCCCATGATGCTGGCCTCATCTTCTCGGGCAGTGATTCCGGTACAGCAACAAGAATAAAACAAATATCCAACAAAGCTATAGCTGTAGCTAGGACCACTACCAAGCTGTTTCCATAGACTCGACCAAGGTAGGCACCAATAGCTGGGCTAGTAACTAAACTTGCTGCAAAAGTTGCTGAAACCTGTAACAGGCAAAAGTCAGTATGAGAATAAGTTTTCCAGTAAGGAAGATCAAACTTATCCAATCTTTTTTTCTGACTTCACTTTCAGCACCTTCACTTCCATAAACTTAGTTACAAATCACCCTAATCAGGTGGACAAGTTCTGAACTAACGTACAGCTCTTTTCTCTGGCACTGCAGCAGCAACCACAGATTTCAGACATCTGAAGTTTTTAACGAAAAAAAATGTGGTTAAGTGGGGCAGCACTGTATA